TTGTTTCATTGACAGATTGATCAATGAAACTTTTTCTATTTGGCGACTGAAATTTAAAGAAGCTTGGAGGAATGTTACAGCGAAAGAACCTCTAGTTTTTCGTCAATTGACAACTTATTGGTGTTTAGCCGTTGTTTCCAATGCCAGCCACTAATACAACAGGGTAAGGAACGTTTTGACTAACACTTGACACCATGTGTATGATTGATCAATTGATGATTAGTTGCCAAAATGTGAGCTAAACCTTTGCCCCATTCCTCCAAGTAATACATGTGTTCATCATTGTATAGCCCTTATTTCTGTGATCTTACTTAACTGGGACTTATTTAACTAATCAAAAAAATCATCTGTTGATTCACCTTCGATGCTGCTACACCCTGGACCACAGATCAGGATTAACCAGAAATATGACAAAAGAATAAAAATCGATCGGATGATTCCCTTTTTATTCAATGAAGTTTAGAAAGTCCTTGTTTAAATACTGTTTTGAACTGAGCCACACCAATTGGAGGCTTTTTGTCACGAATCGGGGATTTGTTAGATAGATATCAAGCGAAAGCAAGTAGCAAACACTCTTTGATCAATAATATCGATCGCTTAAAATCTTACAATGGATATTCAGGTCAACAACACACGCGTGAATAGATACTAACGTCTTGCTAAACTTGTCAGTAAAAAATCAAAGTTCCATTTGACTGACTTCAGCAATATGATGTTGAAAAATGTTATTATTCTTCTTGATTGATGGAATAAAACATCAACGTCGTTAGAAGAGAAAACTTTTCGTACGAATGGAGATTCACATAACACTTTTGATAACAAATTAGACATAATTAGGATATGCAAAAGTGAACACAATATAATGCGATGAAAAATCTACAAACTTGGTACTGCTCTGAAATTGTCAGTCAATAAAATGAAGGAGGAAATAATCTGAATTAATTAAACGAAACAATTCTGTTTGATTAGAAAGCTGATTATCTCACGCCTACTTATATTTGGTGAAGAATGTGCTGAATCGGGGCATTTCTCCTATAACGAATATTCAATTTTAATTGCACTGGATTTAGTTGCGGACTATGGAGTTTCGCGGGATGTTCAATGTTCAATGTTCTTCAATTAGAGGCAGAGGGTAATTTCCGGTATGAGCCTCATCACCACAGACTCGAAG